GAGAGAGAGAGAGAGAGAGAGAGAGAGAGAGAGAGAGAGAGAGAGCGATGGAGCTGTTAGGATGGTGGTTGATGCTAGTGGGCACACTTCGGCTTGCATCGGTATGGTTCGGTTTCTTCGACATTTGGGCTCTTCGTCTCGCTGTTTTCTCCAAAACCACCAGTAAGTTTTACGCACACTTTTTACTTAGATCACGCTTCGTGCTCTACATTTCGTCGTTGGATAACGAGCATTGCACGCACATTTTGGCTTTTGTTTAATTCTCCCGATCTGATTTGAATCTCTAATAGGAAGCAATTCAATATATTCCAGTACACATCAAATCCCCTTACTTTCGCCTTATGTTCTGTGATTTGTCACTCAAAAAGTGTCTTTTTTGGTAATTTTATTCCATTGCCTAGGATGATTACATATAGGAACTTATGGCAGCTATGTCCAATTAAAATCAATTAAGGATCAGACTGAGATCATAATTTTAAGCTATTACTACTTCGTGGTTGTAGATGCAAATTTAGTATGAATTCAATTCGAATCCGAGCTACAATACTCAGTGTAAACTCGTGCACACTGTCAATACAGACACGCAGACACTATTTTTTCTGTATTTATGATGGTGGTGTTCGGGCCAGCTTGCACCCACCTCGACTACTCCACCGGGTGCCTGCTACCCCCACCAGCACAGGTACCGGTCAAGTGAAGGTGGTGGGTTTTGAGACATGCACTGTTGATACTTTGGATCTGCCCCTAGACCAGACGCATTTCATTTTGATTGGGAAATGGAACAAGGGACAATGTACTGTTGGATTGATTTGCTATTCCATAGGGTTGAAATGGTGATAAATAGATAATAATGAGTAAAAGGAGCAATACATTATGTCAATGGGGCTTAAGACTTGGCTTTTGACTTTGATGTGTTTGGCATGATTTTATAGGCAATAGATTTGATTGGATTTACGGGTTTGAAATCAGTGGATCCAATGCACTTTTGTTGCTTACCAGGTACTTATTAAACTAGCTTAAATTTTCAATTCTCATTCTTTACATCCAAGAATTACTTCGTCCACATTTCACATTCCCTTGATTTAAGACTATAATGAATTCTCTTTTTTTGATATGGTAAAGGTTAAGACTATAATGAATTCTCTTTTTTTGATATGGTAAAGGTTAAGACTATAATGAATTCTCCTATTCGGATATGCAAGTATAACCAGATTTTTGCTTTAATGCTCTTGGTTTAGTGACTATTATCTGAAATCCACATATGACTGATTAAAATAAAAATGTGGATGATAGTAAAGAGAACGATCTCAAGAATCAGATTGAGCTCTTCTCCTTGCTAAGGATGGAATATTTATGCATTTTAGGTGGTATTATATTGCGATTTACAATCCTTATAACTGGTTACTAGATCAATCTATTCATCATGTAGATACAACAATTATAAACTAATGAAAAAAATTAACCTATTTATGGATATCCTATTGCAAACAAAAAGGCGTTTACCATTTAACTAGGCAGTTTTCAAACAAGACAATTCCTACCCATAAACAAAGTCAGTTGAAACGGGAAAAACAATCATACCTACAGATCTACACTCAGTAATTCATGATGTGAGAATGTGATATCGCCCTATGAAAATGTAATTATTCTCTTGCAGTATTTGTAGCACTTCTTTCATGTGTCTCTTAATATTAGCTTGTACTTCTGCATGTCTTTTAAAAAGGTAAAACTGTTCCCCTTTATCAGATTTTGTACTGTCACAAATGGGTATCATTATCAGTACCTCCAAGCTCTCGACATAGTCCTATCCTTTCATAAGAGAAGTCTTTATCCAACAATTGCAGCTCAAAAGACTTCTTAAAAAGATCTCGTTATGTCTGTGCAAGTTACATATCTTCATGTCATCCCATTTGGGTTATTTTGGGTTATTTTGTAACTCAGCTGGAGTCGATTAAATTCGAGAATTCGTTCGTCTTGATAGGTTGCAATAGTGTTGTTGTCACTACTTGCTTGGCCCCAATGCACCTATAAATACTATGTATTGTCAAGTAAGTGTGACAATATTATGTTTCTTGTCTGGCTTGAATTTATTGGGAATGATGTGGAATGGTAGAAGGGGGGCCTTGTAGCAGCGGTAAAGTTGCTTCCATGTGACCTATAGGTCACGATTTCGAGTCGTGAAAGTAGTCACTAATGCTTGCATTAGGGTATGTTGTCTACATCATTACCCCTTGGGGTGCGGCACTTTGCCGTACCCTACGCGAACGCTGGATGCTTTGTGCACCCGGCTGCCCTTAGCTAATGTGGGATTGTAATGTGGGAATTTGGTGGTTACAACTTGTTAATGTACGGAGTAGCTTTTGTCATGAAAATAGAACCTTACTGGTGGTAGTGCATTCACCGATCAAAAGAAGTTACTGGTACTGCAGTCAGTAATAACACATTTGATTAGTTACATTTGGTGCTCAACTTCTTGAATAACTTTTAAGAACATTGACTTTTTAAGCTCAAATCTGTGCATGTACGTTAAATTTGACAAGTGATAAATAGTTTGTATTGCTCAGGATCGGGTGGTTTTACTTGTGATTGCATTGGAATAACCAAGCATTACATTGCTCTTTTCTTTTTCTTGTATTCCAAAGTCCTGTTAACTATTGTGTCAACTCACTTCTTTTCAAGGTCTTGTCCTAAATTTGATATGTTTCTAATGAAAACTGTACTTTTTGATTATCATGTGCAGTGTCAGAAGTACATGGGAGGACATTTGGAGTGTGGACTCTTCTAACATGCACTCTTTGCTATCTGTGTGCATTTAACCTTCATGACAGGCCTTTGTATTTGGCAACCTTGTTATCGTTCGTCTATGCCTTCGGTCATTTCCTGACAGAGTTCTTGATCTATCAGACAATGGAAATAAAAAATCTGGTTACTGTTGGTATATTTGCAGGTATTGTACCTCCCAGAATTCTTTTTTATGACCGCTGCTAGATCTTGTAATGGTTTTCTGTGTTTCCCCTCCATCACTGGCTTTGATATGCTTTTAAAACAGTGAAAGTAAAGATTGGATTTACTTAACTAGTGCTTTCAAAATGCAAAAATTGCATTCAAATACTATAACCTGTGATTCATCCTTAATTCACCAAGTGCCATGTGATTTAGAGTTTCTGTTTAGCATCTATTAACATGGACCTGGGTTCATTTAGTTGTGCCATGTCACTAAATCCTCAACTTAATCATTTGAAGACCTGCTTGTGCTGCTAACTTCTCTGAAAAATCTGTCAAACTTACCATGTTTCTTTCTTGCGAACTTTTTAGTTGCGCTAATTGAACTCCTGCAACTTGCTATTCTTATGAATTTCGCATATATGTTGGGTGGAGTGCTGTTGCTTAAGCCCAATTTACTACCTAAAGATGTTAGTTACTTTTAAACAAATGAGATGATGAAGCAAATCCATATGATGGTTCTTATGAAGTGTTCAATTAGTTGTCAACTTCAGAACTTCTTTACCTATGTTTGTGGTTTAACTATAATAAGGAAGTTCTAATAATCTGGAGGTAACTCAAAAAAACAACTGCATTAGTGGCGTTATCTTTATGCATCAGCACATTCTTTCCTTTCTTTGCAATTATTTGATCTCAGTCAAAGTCACACACCACTTTTGACTGTCTTGAGGAGTTCCATTTTCTCTCAGGCACGTCTATAGTGTGGATGTCGTTGCAGTGGAATGCTCGCCAACGGATTAAAACTAAGAGTCCATAAAAGTGAATCAATAGCATTGGTTTGAAGCAGATTTTTTGGACGTTATCCCTTTTGGCCTATGCCTTTGCTGCTGCGCTTTAAGTCTCGGAGTTTCAGCTGGGTGAGCTCTGGAAGAATCTCTCTTTGGACTTCTTGGCCGCAATTTCCTCAAATGTCTCAATGCCAGCTTTCCTTCTAATTGGCTTTTGTAGCAATTCGAAGGATTTCATGTGTCTCAGACTTGGTCTACGGATTTTTTCGAATATTTTCCAAAACATGTAATGCCATAAAAAAATTTCTACTACTATTATTTACATGGTCAATCCTCGTTTCTGTATAACTTTGCTTTTTGGTTGATTGTCAACTTTATCTCGTAGTAAAACTGACTATAGTTTATGATGAATCCATTACTGATATGGTCACTTAACTATCCCAAATTATCTGGTAAAGTTATTTTTCTTTCGTTTAACAAAGTCAACTTAACTATGCCTATAACACTCAGAAGGTCACTCAACCAGATTTTTCAAAATTTGGATTTCCAAATACCTATTTTACCCTCTAAATTATAAATATTTATCTTATTTTTTGTAACTTTTTAATATTATGACTTTTTCCTTTTTAATTTATATTATGGAGTTACCTATAGAATAAATAAATTTTATTTATAAATTAAAAAAAAAAGAATTTAAGCATATTTAATGTTCGAATGATAAAATATTGAGCATAGTAAAAAAAAATTAATTAGAATAATTTGTTCGTAATAATAATTTTAATATTAACAACAAAAATTCAAAAATTTAAAGGTTATAAAATATATATATTTCATGCACTTAATATAAAGGTATTTTTATAATATACATTATATATTCTTAAAAGTTATGCTCAATTATATTATTTTTCTGACATTATATAAGCTGAAACCTAATTTTTTATTTTTTATTTTATAAATAAAATATATTTGTTCTATAGGTAATTCCACAATGTAGATTAAAAAGAGAAAAAAATGATAATGTTTAAAAAGTTTTAAAAATTGATAATTTAGAGGGTAAATAGGTATTTAACAATTAAAAATTTGAAAAATCTAGTTAAATGGCCTTCTGAGTGCTATGTGCATAGTTAAATGACTTTGTTGCTACAAACGAAAGAAATATGAGTTTACTAGATAATTTGGGATAGTTGAGTGACCATTTAAGTAATGGACTCAGTTTATGATTCATATTTAGAGTGCAGAAAACTTGTTTATGGATTGAAATAAGCAGAAAGTAAAAGCAGTTGTCTGTCTATTTTGATAATATATGGTGTTTGAATGCTTGAATCTGGGCAAAACATCATACTGGTCACAACTACGCAAAGCTTTTCGAGACAAATATTTGTAGAAAACCATTGACAGAATACTAGACTTGCAAATATGCTCCTCTCCTACAGATCATTATAACACCAGCAAGAAGTAGGATTCGTCCAAACTTAATCCATCTACCTAAACACAATTACAATTAAAATTACAATTACATATAAGCAAAGCAACCCTCGCATTCTCCAGTTTTCAGGTTGAAATCCTTAAAAATACTCTAACGAAAACATTTTTCTCTAATCTCTTAGTATCTTATACTACTTGAGATTGGACAAACACAGCAAGTTACACTATCAATGGATCAGTCTTTGCTTGTAATTGCCTATGCAGCTGTACATTGCAGACACTTTATTCTCAGTTACAATTTGGATTTCCAAAATCAAAATACTAACAAAGGGATGTGGTGATTCCCCTTTAGTGTTGAAACACTCTATTCATATTATCTGCATCTCTCCTTCTTCTTGTATCTTTATCATCCTCATCTACTATTTCTTCCAATTGTTCATGCTCTCCAACTCCATCTGTATCATCATCTCCATCATTACTAGCTTGATTTTTCCCCTCTTCTTCTTCCTGTTCAAGATCCTCATCTGGGGTTTTCTGAAACTCAGCAGCTAACTCATCTAACAGCAAAGGATTCAGATCCTTTCTCCCTAACTTCAACACTTCTTGTTCCTTAACTAATTTTTCTTCCCAATTCTCCTCTAACCCAACCTTGCTCCTGCTGTAAGATTTCTTTACTTGGTAAATCAACCAGAAGCACATCAAAAGCAGTACAAATGCTTGAAAAGCATGCTTTAGTTTAAACCCTTTCGTCCTCAGATTCCTACTTGATGATTGCTTCAACATGTTCACTATTCACAACACTGTTATTCCTCCATGTTTTACCAACTTCTAATTAAAATACAATCCGTGTGAATTTACCCTAGGATAAAAAACAACTATAAGGGTACTATTTGAACTTACCAGTAAAGCAAAGCAACTGGTGAGTGTCAAGTTGTAGAGATGAGGTGTGAGAAGAAAAGGGAGTGAGGCTCCCACTTTAGGGAGATAAAGCAATCACAAGTAGGTACATGTGGTGCATTTGTGTTGGTTTTTAAAAGTTTTGTGGATTGTGTCGGTGGGAGGAATTTAATGAGGTACAGCAATTGAGTCGAGGATACATCGACTGTTGAGCCCCTGCATTTTTAAACCTTCAATTTTTAGAATACTGTTGAGCGCCTGCATTATACAAAAGAGCGACCGTAAGAAGTACGCTTGTTACAAAGCATCATTTTGAATTGAGCTTACAGCATGTTTCACCAAAAAGTTTTTAACTCTTTTTATTAAACTAACTAAGTGGGAAGACTTAGAATATAAGTCTGATTATGATTATAAGTAAATCCTAGCCAAAGGTAATTTCTACTAAACCTGATATAGAATATAAGAATAAATAAGCATAGCTAAACATAAAGTTTGATTATGATTACGATTGAATCCCATAATGTAAGAAAAAGGATGATGATTTCAATAATATTAAATGATAACGAAGAATACATAAATGAAAGAGTCATCGTTCTTGAACAAGGTTGACCTCCATACATTTGATATGATTAAACTAGTGATGAATACCGTGGTTCTAAACTTCTTTTCTCCTTCCTTCTTGGCGAGGAACCTGAAAAAATGAAGATCCATCTTCCTCTCTTTCCCCTGATATTTATATAAAAACACTTTCTTTACCCAGTGGTCCTTAACTAAAGTTTCTAAGTTCTTGGAATATCCTGTAGAATATTTCTCTAAAATGCTTAAGTTTTAAACTAGCCGTTCAGGCCGAATTCAGTGCTCGACCTCGATCATAGTTGAATCACTCGTCGGTGTATTACTCCCCATACGAGACCCTGGCTTGGTTGACTCTTGAGCGTGCTTCCTTAAGTAAGACTTAGGGAGGGCGGCAGTCTTCAGTCCCTTAGAGAGGAGTTGGAGCGGAAGGACGAGGACCTGGTGCGGTCCATCGGCAGATGCAGCGAACTCGAGGGGCTGCTTAGGGCCAAAGAAAAGGAGCTTGAGGTGCGCAAGGGGGTTATGACTGAGTGCGTTGATCTTCAGGCGAAGTGGTAGCCTTGCGGGCAGAGCTTGAGCAAAGTGCCACTAGAGTCGCTGGTATGAGTGTTGAATTGGCGGAGAAGGTGATCGAATTAGAGGGGAAGGCGATCGAGTTGGAGAGAGCAGAAAGAGCCCGAGTAGAGGCCTTGGCAAAAGCTACCGCGCTGGAGGATTCTATCCGCATTCTCGGGTCTGAGCGTGCAACTGAGATGGGAACAACCACTCTAAGGGAGGCGCGACTTGATGAGAGAATTGGCGAGCTTGAGAGAGAAGTCTCGACCCTAGGTGGTCAAATTGCTGCTCTCGAGGTTGAGAGGGCTAAATTGTTAACTTCGACTCCTCCTATGTCTGCCTTTGTTGTTGTTCTTCGCCCTTTGTATGAGATGTGGATCCACGCTGAGGCTCAGCGGGATATATATAAGGGTTTTTTGGCAGCAGGAAGTGTTTCTGATATTGCTTTCGAAGAGGCTCGAGTTAAAGCGCGTGAGGCCTGGCTTGCCTATGGTTATGACCCTGCACCGCCAGAGGCCGGTGGAGTTGATGAGGACGAGGATGGGCTTGCCTTTGATGAGGAACATTCCGATGGAGAGAGTGATGTTGGAGGTAAAGTTGTTGAACCAAGCAGAGAGAGAGATGACAACGTGGATGGGGATAATGCTGAATGAAGCTCTTGTACTTAATTCGTCCTTGATTGTATGCCTTTGGCCTTTGGCCCTTTTTTTGTTGGGTGGGCCCTCCCCCCTTTGTCCCTTTGTAAGACGCTATCTTTTCTTTGAATGAAATAGTTGATTCGTCCTTGATTGTATGCCTTTGGCCTTTCCTTCTCTTTTCTTTGCGAATTTCTTGGATCTTTTCGTAGTAAGTCCCTGACTTTTGGTAGTTACTTTGAGCAGGGTCGAACTTGACTTGCTAATTCGGGCGAGGTAAAACTTGACTTATTAACTCGAGCGAGGTCGAATTTTGACTTGTCAATTCGAGTGAAGTCGAATTTGACTTTTTAATTCAAGCGAAGTCGAATTTGACTTACTAGTTCGAGCGAGGTTGAATTTTGACTTGTTAACTCGAGCGAGGTCGAATTTATCTTGCTAATTCGAGCGAGGTCGAATTTATCTTGCTAATTCGAGCAAGGTTGAATTTTGACTTGTCAATTCGAGCAAAGTCAAATTTGACTTGTTAGTTCGAGCGAGGTCGAATTTTGACTTATTAACTCGAGTGAGGTCGAATTTATCTTGCTAATTCGAGCAAGGTTGAATTTTGACTTGTCAATTCGAGCAAAGTCAAATTTGACTTGTTAGTTCGAGCGAGGTCGAATTTTGACTTATTAACTCGAGTGAGGTCGAATTTATCTTGCTAATTCGAGCGAGGTCGAATTTTCACTTGTCAATTCGAGTTAAGTCAAATTTGACTTTTTAATTCAAGCGAAGTCGAAGTTGACTTGTTAGTTCGAGCGAGGTAAAATTTAACTCTTAATGAATTCGAGCAAGGTCGACTATACATTTCATGTGTTGGCGTGATGTGTAAACTTGGTGGAGTGTAAGAATGTCATACTACTTTGTTTATTCATTGGAGAGTATTACATGTTTCTGTTTGATCCGTACATATACTCGATGAGTCTTAGTCTATCTAGTCCCTTCATTGCTCGGCCTAGAGAAGCAGTCGATATGCGAGGCGATGAATGTCTCGCTCAAGCTTCGGGATGTCTTAATATATGGACGAGATCAAATTTTAGCTAGTTGTATCGTCGCATAGTTGTTTTGGCCAATGCGTGGGTGAGTTTCACGCGCTTGTGTTCTGTCTGCATGTTGGAGAGATTTGTATGTTTTCCGGGCTGGTTATGGCGTTAAGCACCAACTTATTGGAGGGAGGGGAGGGGTTTTGCTCGACCGTTGCCTGCGAAATGATATGGCGCGGAACGTTCTCTTGGTGTGTTGTTTTGATGGCGT